AGCTGCTCCTTGGAAACCCTATACAGGGTCGCTATGGATTGGAACAGACTTAATGGCACTTAACAACAACAACAAAAAGCAGACTCCTGGTGTGACACTGTAGGATTAACACTGGACTGTGAACCACAAGGTCGGAAGTTCAAACCCACCCGTGCCTCCTTTGAAACCCTATATAGGGTCGCTATGAGTTGGAACGGACTGGACGGCACTTAACCACAACAACAAAGCAAAATATAGAGGCGGAAAGGGTATAAGACAAGTCCATAAAAGGTTAAACAGCTGTTTATCACACTTCATACATGGTGACAGACTTTAATCTAGTCCTTTCTTCCTTACATGTTCTACATTGTCGCTGGTGTCAAGTGCCACTGAGTCAGTTCTGACTCATAGTGATCCTGTATAGGGTTTCCCAGGAGTGACTGGTTAGTTTGAACCACTGACCTTGTGGTTCAAACTGACCTAGCGGTCCAATGCTTATTCTACAGCACCACACTGGGACTCCTCACATAGAACAAACACATTTTGGGTACGTGATACATATTAAGCCTTCAACGATTTCAAAGTATAAATACCAAGACCTTAAACACATTTCCTAGTCCTCAGTACCAGTGAATTTGTAGTTTTATAAATATCATGGTGAACAAGAAATGCTGTCTTGTCACATTCAAGCCAAATAACAGCTGGACTTTAAAAATAAAATTGTGAAGGCATTTGCCTTTTATACTTTTAATTTCTGTTTTCCTTGCCTATGGTTTTGTCATTTGATTTTGATGAGTGGTTAATACGCATGCACAGCTGCCTCTTTTAGCGACCTTTCCCCCATTGCCTTTATGTCCAGGGCTAGAAAGCAGGTCTACAGATTGCTTACTAAGTGATTTCGTCATGTTCAGGACTGGCAGACATAGTCCTCAGAAGCCTGACTGGAACAGGGCTGATTACGTTTAGTCACTACAGAAACATCACAGGAGGATGGGGTGGAGGTGGAGGACCGAGGAAACATGGAGATGGTGCTGTGGGGCCAGGCCAGGACTCACCTGCCAACTGAGATTGTGGAAGCAGGTCTTAAAGGCAGGTGAATCCTATCCTTGCCTTACTGGAACGTGTCCATGTTTCCTCTGTCTTTGGAATAGCAGTTTTGAGGGGCTGTGTCCTTCCTCCACCTCCACCCCATCCAGGTCTTGGAGTCCTAGTGTGGCGCTGTGGGATAAAGCACTGGATCCCAAGGATGCTTTGAATCACAAGGTTGGTGGTTCAAGCTCACCAGCAGGTCCTTGCAAACCCTGCAAAGGGTTGCTATGAATCAGAACCGACTCAAAACTTAACAAGAAGAAGTAGTAAGTTTGGGACTCCTGGTGTGGACTGTAGACCACAAGGTCGATAGTTCAAACCCTCGAGAAGACACTCTTTGGAAACCATATACAGGATTGCTATGAGGTGGAACCGACTCAATTGCACTTAACAACAGGATAGGACTGGCTTTGAACAGAATGGCAGCACAGAGGAGACCTAGTCCTCATATTCATAGCACTTTTCTCAAACAACCATGTGTTTATTTATGTATTTACCTTTCAATTTCCTATCTTCCCTCACTATGCTCCAAGAGGTAAAGGACATACCTGGTTTTGCTTTCCATGTTATAGTAGACACTTAATAAATGTTTTCTGGATCATGGACTGATTTTATTTTTTTATTTTTTTTTAGCTATTTTGATACTTCTGTGTCTTCTTAATCTTCCTTTTTAAGGGAAATATGAAGAATCAAAGTGCAGAGAGTATCGTGTGTACCTGTGATCTCCTCCGACTTTAATGTGAACAGTAACACCAGCAGGCTTTGCAAGCAGCACCCACTTGAACAAATGCCAGGAAATAGCCTTAGGTCAGCAGAAGCCTGCTCCCCATCCCAGCAGTCCTCACAAAGGCATTGCATTGCTGTGGGTATTAGAGCAGGTAACTTGACTCCATTCATGAACTCACAGTCCCCCAAAAGCACATGAGGTCTCAATGGCAGCTCTGGGCAAGCTTCTGAAGGGAGGTTTTCACACGCTCCCTAAGCCGCTGGGCCACAACAGCCCTTCTACGGTTACAGTCATCGGGCACTGCTGTTCTGTGTGACAGGGAAGCTGAGAGCTGGTGCATGGCATGACTTGCTATATTTAGGGGAGAGGAAATGGGCCACACTGAGGAAGGTCACAAGGAGTTTGCTCAGAAAAGCACAGGCACTACACAGTTGCCCATATGTACAGGGGGTGGAAGACAGCACAGAAATGCAGAGCTTTGCTTCTGGAACCAGGCTGCCTGGGACCCAGCTCCCGTGTATAAGCTATGTAACCTGTTACAGGTATCTTAATTACTCTGATCTCTTTTCCCCCTCTGCAAAATAGGAAATCAAACAAACAAACCATCTTTTTAACCTTAACATAAGTTTTAAGTGAGAAAATGTGGCTAAAAAGCTTATTCTGACATATTGTTGTTGTTAAGCACTATCAAGTCAGTTCTGACTCGTAGTGACCCTGTACAGGGTTTCCAAAGAGTGCCTGCTGAATTTGAACAGCAGACCTTGTGGTTCAAACCAACCTTAAGTACTCAAAAAAAAAGCTTGATAAGCAGACACAAACCCAAAATAGCCAAGGGAATGGCACAGCTTTGCATCTAGACAGTTTAGGTATTACATATTTTGATACAACATGCTTATACCATGATTTTTAACCTCCTCCCGTAAAGATTTACACCCTTGGAAACCCTGTGCAGGGTCGCTATGGGTCGGACCTGACTCGATGGCACTTAACAACAACAACAACAACTATACCATGGAGTCCTGGAGTGGTGCTGTGGAGTAATGCGCTGGACTGCAAAGCTGGTTTGAACCATACAGTCGGTGGTTCAAGCTCACCAGCCACTCCTAGGAAACCCTATACATAGCCGCTATGGGTCAGAACCAACTTGACAGCACTTAACAACAACAACATGTACAGAGAGGAGACTCTGTGGCTCTAAAGCATCAGACCGCTAAGCACAAAGTCTGGTAGTCCAAGTCCGCCAGCTGCTCTGTGGGAGTAAGATGAGGCTTTCTGTTCATGCAAAGATTTATAGGCTCGGAAACCCTACACAAGGTCACCGTGTGTCAGAACCAACTTGATGGCACTAACTAACCATAATGACAAGTACATGAAATCATCGACTACAGCATCTCAGCATTACTGAGAGGCAATATGGAGCTGTAGGATCAGCACTGGACTGCAAACCACAGGTCAGCAGTTCAAACCTACCAGCTGCTCCTCGGAAACCCTATACAGGGTCACTGTGAGTCGGAACTAAATTGACAGCATTTAGCAACAACAATACCTATTATACAATTAAGAAACCAAACCAAATGAAGAATGGTCCACGTCAGTCTGAGAAGTCTGATAGAGCACGCATGCATAAGGCTGTAGAAGCCTGCAACTCCGAGACTATGGCCAAGTGTAAAGATCAAATAGTTCGAAAAGTGATGAAGATGATTTCTTTTGGTGTCTGAGGTCAAAGACTTAGCTACTCTACAGCGCAATCATCTAACAAACTTGAAATGAGCCAAACCTGAAACGCTTCCACCCAGCTTCTCAGGCCTGCCCTAATCTGTGCCGCACTCAGATGGCCCATTGTACATAACCCATTTGGATTCCCTGGCTCCCTAGGCCAAGGAACCGCACCGTCACCGGTGGAAAAGTCTACATTGGCTAAGTGTCCGTGAAAATATCAGTGTGCTCTGAAGCTATTTTTCAAGGAAGACAGCAACTCTATTTCTGGTCTCGAGTCTTCTTTATCCTCCCTTCTTGTTTCTCTTATCTCTCCCCAAATCTCTCTCTCCTCAATCTCTTTCTCACATACTTGGACATATGCACATATCAATTAGAATTTATGCTAACACCTTGTCTCCCAGACTATCCTCGGACTAACATTAGTCTCTTGTATTGGTATGAAAAATCTACCTTCTGGAGTCTCTCTGCAATGCTTCCTAATGTCTGATTCTACCTAGCTCTTAGTGCTCATGCCAAGGATTTCTCAACTACCTGGGACCACTCCAAGCTATCACTGGCAGCCATGCCCAATTCAGTTGTTCTGTGAAATGTTGTGGTGTGTTTTCAAGGGATTAGGGTCCTGGAAGAAATCCTACCAGTAAAAAGGACACTAGTAAGATTCTTCCCCTTGAACTAACTGAAGAAGGACTTCAGCTTGGGACCTGAGATGGGTGAAGTATTGTGTTACTATGAAAAGAACAAATTAATCTTCTCTGACTTCTAGGAGGGATTTTGCCAAAGAAACAGCTAACGGGAAAACCAGTCCCTACTCTATGCTGATGACAGTAAATAACAAGGCAGCATTACTACTGAAGTGCTGACCTAACTCATAAATTGTACCCAGTCTCTGGGGAGCAATTTCTGCTGATCTGCTGCTTGTGCATTTAAAACAAACAGAAAGGGAAGAGGAGCAGACAGGCATTGACGGTGCTGTGGGTAAACATGCTGAGACTAAAGCTGCTTTTCTCACCTACACTTTGAAGACGTTAGTAATGGTTAGTGCCTAGGCAATTATTACTTCCCCCAAGTAATTATTAATTTTTTACCAAGTCTGCTACAGATCATCACTTCATTCTTCAAATGATTTGATTGTACCTAGAAATCACTAGATTTAGAGTTTGTTTGGTGTTTCTTAAAACAACTCCTTTGCATTTTATTTTTTTAAAGCAGGAATGCAGTGAGGCAGATGAAATACAGGATTCTGTTCATTGAAACTCTTTTAAAACCTTAAACTGACTTGAAGTAGTTAGATTGCCATATTCTATGTCACAGAGAAGCTTCTCAACGTCCTCAGCTATAACAAATAATGAAGATGTACATTCTTCTTGGCCTAGAAAATCCAGTTGATGACTTTCAAAGAAAGGCCCTAAAGATCTTCCATCTAACTTGGACATAACTTTTTTAAACACACGGGACAGCAGAAAGGAGCTAGGGAATAGCCACTCACCATCTGCATCTTCTGGTCGAGTAAGATCGATGACACCTGGGCCCAGCTTCCCGTCTTCACTTGACTTTCCTGTTAGCTGGGGCCCCAGATTCTCAAAGCGTGTTCTTTCCTAGAGGAAGGAATAATCAGAAGGCTTATTCTAGCTTCCAGAGCAGTCTCTTTCTCCTTCTGGTTTCTATCTTGCGAAATGGGCAAAACCTGGTTTTACAAACATCATGTGTGACCAGTTTGAGCTCAGAAAATTTCACTAGAGTTTGATGGTGCCATTGGCAGTGTTGACAACACTGAAGGGAAAGCACATGACAGGGAAGGGAGGCTGCGGAAGGACCCTGTCAGTGATGACGTACTGCACATCTCTCTCTCTGGGGATGTTCTTCAGTACTCTAAAAGGAATTCAACTGAGAGGTGTCAGCCCAGAGTGCAAAACTGGAAACAGTAATTCATATTAAAATCCACAGAGACATTTAACGGGAGAGGAATTTTCCTATTTTTGATTATAGTCTACATTGGTATTCTTTGGAAATGCAAATCAAACTTTTAGACAAGAGAATTCCAAGGGCAAATATTTTGAAGAGGGTAGACTGGTGGTGGTGGTGGTTGTGTGCTGTGGAGTCAGTTCTGACTCATAGTAGCCCTATATAGGGCTTCTGTTTATGGAATCAGAAAGCCTCATCTTTTTCCCAAGGAGTGGCTGGAAGATTTGAACTTCTGACCTCGCAGTTAGCAGCCCAACTTATAACCCACCATGCTACAAGGACACCTTGTGCGCAGACAAAAAATTGATGCTTTTATTTTGCCCCAAAGTTTCAACTGTGACTTCCTGGAAACTGAAAAGACCGACCTCATTCCTAGTAAGCCATCAAGTCAGGAAAGTTAAATACTCCTGGCACTGTAGGAGCCAAGTACCAAAGATGATGTCTCGTTAACCACTTTTAAGAACAGCAGTCGGAAACGTCCCAATCAACGTTCCCACTACAGCCCTGTGGATTACTAGCACAGGGCGCATTGGCCATCATTAATATGGTGTTCTTGTCTGCTGAAAACCAGCACATACCCCCCCCCCCCCCCCGACACCTTGTGCCTTCTTGCTACTCTCCAGGCTCAAGCTTGGCTTTGTGTTGTGCTTATGAATGAATGAAACCTTGTTGTTCATTACTATGAAACACTATTAAATGTCATGTCAGCTTGAATTTACAGACATGAAATAGCAGCTTCCAGCTCCGGGAATGGTTTCTGCATGTTATACTTAATGCATTATGTAGCAGCGGAGTGCTGATTGCTCTTCGGTCTATTGTTCAATGACCTAGTTCTGTACTGAGCATGTTCGCCATCAGATGGAAACACTGTGAATGTTCTCTTCTGTAAGATGTTTAGAAACTTGGAAATATTCTTAAAGAGCAAACATACAATTACTTGATAGAGGCTGTGCCTCATTTGTACAGTCTCACTACATTTGTGCTTTCTAATATGATTATTTTTGAATATCATTATATTTCTATAATTAATTCCCATCAGTCAAATTGTGCAGGAAGTCTTCCAGTTCCCCTTCATCATAACATATGTTGGAATCTGTGTTGGAAGAAAGCACAGCATAAAAGCCTTGCTTTAATCTAGCACCATTTCTATGAAAGATTTGCAACAAAATTATGATCATCAAATTCCCCAACTGGGTAACACTAACTAGTTACAATAGCGACTATGTGGGAAAACCTCTGAAATATGACCCTTGTAGGAAACGGAATGAAAATAAAAATCAAATTAGGTATGGTTCCCCAATAGTTTCTTATGTGAAAACACTGTTGCACAAGAACAAATTAACCCAGATGCAGGACACGACACAAAGCAACCACAAACCATGTGGGGCATTCACACATTGTCTCAGGGGGAGGACAGCTGCTTTTAATCAGCCCATTTCTACTTTCAAGTAGCACTTTGGGTTGTCATGATGCAAAGGATGAGAATTAAAGTGAAAACAAGTAGTACCAGGGAAAGCAAAATATTCAACCTCTGTTTTATCACATTGTTTCAAATTTCAAACATTTGCATGTGAATGCCTTCCCAATGTTAAATGCAAAAGGAGTTTGATGTGATGCCTGCAATCTTGGAAGAACCACCTATAACTGCATTTTCATGGGGGTGGAGGGAACAACTTTGCTACCTATCAATATGCATATTTCAAGTATCTTTCTAGTCATTCATTCTCTTTGATTTTACCAGAAAATATTCTCAGAAAAAAAAAAATATATATATATAAAAGTTCCTGAAAGAATATCAATATCTTGACAAGGAAGGAGAAGAGGGAAAATTGCACGACATGGTTTGTAAAATCCCAAGACAACAAAGCTCACATGATGATAATATCTTTTCTTTTCTAAAAAATGAAGAGCACTCACAATTCAGTAGTATCAGCTTGTTTTCTAATCATAACAAAATCATTCAGAACATTCAACAACACATTCGCTATGTCTTTGAAGTCATACATTTTCTGATTTCATTGAAAAACAAAATTCTTCTACAGAGATACTTTCCCTATAAAATATCAATATTTTGAACGAGTAGAAGTCAAGGCAGAATATCCCACGAAACACTTGTTAAATAGGCAGAAAATCAATCAATGATAAAAATTGTGTTGGGCAGTAGACTGCATTTTAAATTTGGTAATATTAAGCACTTGTGTTTGAGATTAAAGAAGGACCCTACAAAGCTATACCCTTTCATATAAATTTCCACCTAGTCTCCCAGAAGATTTCCTTCCATTCTTCAAAGAATAGCTCAGAATATTTATTTGCCAGCCACATAACCCTAAGATAAGAGGACCTGATGTCTACAAGTTAGCTCTGGGCAGCCGAGCTAAGCAAAGATTTCTCCAGTGAGGCTGAACATGAAGCCAGTAAATGCAGGAATGTGGACGTGGCCATAAAGATACTTTGGTTCCAACTTCAGGCCATCATTGCTAATCAAGATACCCCTTCTTTATGTGACAAATATAGACTGTGGGTGGCAAATTCCTAAGTCCTAATTCCTCCACACATTGAAGTAGTTCTTACAATCACAATCAATGGACCCAGACCTCAAGTAAGATATGCTGAAGTTACTAAGCAAAATACCTCATTGCTAATTGAATCCCAACCTTCCCACCGCAGGAAAATGCCCCAATTTCACTTTAGCAGTGAAATGTACATTTTACATAAAGCAAAGTGATCAGATACTTACTTATGCGTTGTCGGTCACAAACATGCAAACAACATAAAAGTTACTGAAAAAAATTAAAGTCAGCTCTGCTGTGTTGTAGGACTGTTGGCTCTCTAAGTGCTTTGAAATGATGATGTATGAGGTAGCTGTTGCATATTAAATAAAGATATTTAAATGATAAAGCCCCCTTTAGTGAGAGCTGATAAATGTTAAATGTTACAAGCCACAAGAAGGTGGCATACATCATCTTTACGTATCATCGGAGTCAGTGACGGGACGGCCTCAGTGATGACAGATAGACTGCTGCATTATTAGCCCTTATTTCCAGAGTCACTGAACAAACCATTCAACTCCGCAGGCATTATTTTTAACTTTGCATTAAATTAGCAACTTTTCCCTCCCTACTATGGCAAGAATGATCAATTTTGTCTTTGCATCCATGGAGAGAGAGAATAGATTTGGGGTAACGAAAAGATCAGAGGCTTGTTTTCATCTAGGGGGAAAAAAAATTGACTCCCTCTTACTGGTAACAAATGTAAAATTGTGATCTGGGGGAAGGAGCAGCAATGAAGCAGTAAGCACACAATAATGGCTTTTCTTTGCACTTAGATAAAAGCTGAATTTTTGATGTGCACAGTATATTTTAATAAAATTTTATATACTATGTTTTATACACTTATTGGCTATTCCATAATAATGTGTGTGCTAACAGTAAAATTGCTCTTAAATTTATGTGTGTTATTTATACGTTCCCACGTAACAATGCTTTTTGTTGTAAAAAATATTCTGTTTATTAATGTAACTTTACAACCACTGCATCCAAGATCCGTGGTAAATTAATGACATTTTTATTATTTTATAGTGTCATTAAATTTTTACTGATCACTCCATCAAACAGAGGCAGTAAAGGCCATAATGTAAACTGGGACACTTAGATCAGGCAGCAGGAAGACATTCCATATAGTCTGAAGAAAACTGCTAGCTATAAATGATATTTATACCATCTTTAAGCATGTGAGAATACTTGGATAAGTTTGGCAAAACTGTTTCAGTAGGAGAGTGGATTGTGTACTTAAATAACAGTTTGCTTGCCTGTGAGATAAACCTTTATCAAGCCATATGCAAGGTGACTGACTGCAGCCCTCGCCTGAAACATGCCACGTGGAACGAAATGATGCATTGGGCAACTGCCCTCTGGATGACAGAGACTGCCGTCCTGCCTGCCCCATGCCTCAAATTAGTTTAACATGGCACTCTTTTTTTACAACTGAAATGGAATATGGCACATGCCCAGAAAGATTTTTTCTTGTTGCTTTACAAACAAATATATTTCATTTAAGCACACATGACTAGATAATGGTATGATATATTGTCCCAGTGGTCTAAATGGTAGGTATTTTAACAACTTTTATTCAAAAGACCATTTCTAAAGAATGTCTGAATATGGGTCATTCATAGCAGCCACAGAATGTACGTCTAAAAGGCCATTATCTTATTGTATAGTTAAAAGGAGTAAAAAAGATAATTACGCTATTTTCACGTTTGTAATACATTGTAAATAGGATACTGTACACTGATGCTCTAATTAAACCTAAATGTTTAATAATATAAAAGGTTATTAACTAATGGCCAAACATTCTGTTTATGTAGAAAGAAGATATCAAACTGAAAATTCTTTTCTCATACACTTGTGAATTTTGGGTCAGAACCGATTCGACGGCATTTAACAACAACAACAAGGTGAACCGAAGTGTATGACTTTGAATATAAATGTACAACTAATGATATTCTTGGTAAACCTACACTCAATTCACAATAATAAGTTTTCAAGAAAATATTTTGTATTCCAAGGATCGTATTTTACACCTTTTCTGCGTATCAGTATTGTTGCTGTTGTTAAATGCTGTCAAGTCAGTT